CTAACATGTATACTTGATCTGACATGTGAACAACTAGCATTATCTAACATGTATACTTGATCTGACACGTGAACAACTAGTATTATCTGACATGTAACATAGTTATCTAACATACTTGATCTGACACGTGAACAACTAGCATTATCTAACATGTAAACTTGATCTGACATGTGAACAACTAGCATTATCTAACATGTAAACTTGATCTGACATGTGAACAACTAGCATTATCTAACATGTATACTTGATCTGACATGTGAACAACTAGCATTATCTAACATGTATACTTGATCTGACACGTGAACAACTACTTGATCTGACATGTGAGCATTATCTAACATGTATACTTGATCTGACATGTGAACAACTAGCATTATCTAACATGTATACTTGATCTGACATGTGAAACAGCAACTAGCATTATCTAACATGTATACTTGATCTGACATGTGAACAACTAGCATTATCTAACATGTATACTTGATCTGACATGTGAACAACTAGCATTATATACTTGACATGTGATACTTGATACTTGATCTGACACGTGAACAACTAGCATTATCTAACATGTTGTATACTTGATCTGACATGTGAACAACTAGCATTATCTAACATGTATACTTGATCTGACATGTGAACAACTAGCATCATCTAACATGTATACTTGATCTGACATGTGAACAACTAGCATCATCCAACATGTATACTTGATCTGACATGTGAACAACTAGCATCATCTAACATGTATACTTGATCTGACATGTGAACAACTAGCATCATCCAACATGTATACTTGATCTGACATGTGAACAACTAGCATCATCCAACATGTATACTTGATCTGACATGTGAACAACTAGCATCATCTAACATGTATACTTGATCTGACATGTGAACAACTAGCATCATCTAACATGTATACTTGATCTGACATGTGAACAACTAGCATCATCCAACATGTATACTTGATCTGACATGTGAACAACTAGCATCATCTAACATGTATACTTGATCTGACATGTGAACAACTAGCATCATCCAACATGTATACTTGATCTGACATGTGAACAACTAGCATCATCCAACATGTAAACTTGATCTGGCATGTGAACAACTAGCATCATCTAACATGTATACTTGATCTGACATGTGAACAACTAGCATCATCTAACATGTATACTTGATCTGACATGTGATCTAACATGTATACTTAGCATCATCTTATCATGTATACTTGATTTGACATGTGAACAACTAGCATCATCCAACATGTATACTTGATCTGACATGTGAACAACTAGCATCATCCAACATGTAAACTTGATCTGGCATGTGAACAACTAGCATCATCTAACATGTATACTTGATCTGACATGTGAACAACTAGCATCATCTAACATGTATACTTGATCTGACATGTGAACAACTAGCATCATCTAACATGTATACTTGATCTGACATGTGAACAACTAGCATCATCTAACATGTATACTTGATCTGACATGTGAACAACTAGCATCATCTAACATGTATACTTGATCTGACATGTGAACAACTAGCATCATCTAACATGTATACTTGATCTGACATGTGAACAACTAGCATCATCTAACATGTATACTTGATCTGACATGTGAACAACTAGCATCATCCAACATGTATACTTGATCTGGCATGTGAACAACTAGCATCATCTAACATGTATACTTGATCTGACATGTGAACAACTAGCATCATCCAACATGTATACTTGATCTGACATGTGAACAACTAGCATCATCCAACATGTATACTTGATCTGACATGTGAACAACTAGCATCATCTAACATGTATACTTGATCTGACATGTGAACAACTAGCATCATCTAACATGTATACTTGATCTGACATGTGAACAACTAGCATCATCCAACATGTATACTTGATCTGACATGTGAACAACTAGCATCATCCAACATGTATACTTGATCTGACATGTGAACAACTAGCATTATCTAACATGTATACTTGATCTGACATGTGAACAACTAGCATTATCTAACATGTATACTTGATCTGACATGTGAACAACTAGCATTATCTAACATGTATACTTGATCTGACATGTGAACAACTAGCATCATCTAACATGTATACTTGATCTGACATGTGAACAACTAGCATCATCTAACATGTATACTTGATCTGGCATGTGAACAACTAGCATCATCTAACATGTATACTTGATCTGACATGTGAACAACTAGCATCATCTAACATGTATACTTGATCTGACATGTGAACAACTAGCATCATCTAACATGTATACTTGATCTGACATGTGAACAACTAGCATCATCTAACATGTATACTTGATCTGACATGTGAACAACTGAACAACTAGCAACTCATCATCAACATGTATACTTGATCTGACATGTGAACAACTAGCATCATCCAACATGTATACTTGATCTGACATGTGAACAACTAGCATCATCTAACATGTATACTTGATCTGACATGTGAACAACTAGCATCATCTAACATGTATACTTGATCTGACATGTGAACAACTAGCATCATCCAACATGTATACTTTGATCTGACATGTGAACAACTAGCATCATCCAACATGTATACTTGATCTGACATGTGAACAACTAGCTATCTAACATGTATCTTGATCTAACATGAACAACTAGCATCATCTAACATGTATACTTGATCTGACATGTGAACAACTAGCATCATCTAACATGTATACTTGATCTGACATGTGAACAACTAGCATCATCCAACATGTATACTTGATCTGACATGTGAACAACTAGCATCATCTAACATGTATCTTGATCATGTGAACAACTAGCATCATCTAACATGTATACTTGATCTGACATGTGAACAACTAGCATCATCTAACATGTATACTTGATCTGACATGTGAAACTAGCATCCATCCAACATATACTTGTATACTTGATCTGACATGTGAACAACTAGCATCATCTAACATGTGTGAACAACTAGCATACTTGATCTGACATGTGAACAACTAGCATCATCTAACATGTATACTTGATCTGACATGTGAACAACTAGCATCATCCAACATGTATACTTGATCTGACATGTGAACAAGCTAGTATACTTTGATCTGACTAACACTAGCATCATCCAACATGTATACTTGATCTGACATGTGAACAACTAGCATCAACAACTAATCATGTATACTTGATCTGACATGTGAACAACTAGCATCATCCAACATGTATACTTGATCTGACATGTGAACAACTAGCATCATCTAACATGTATACTTGATCTGATCATGTGAACAACTAGCATCATCAACATGTATACTTGATCTGACATGTGAACAACCTAGCATCATCTAACATGTTTATACTTGATCTGACATGTGAACAACTAGCATCATCTAACTTGATCTGACAGCATCATCTAACACTGTATGACATTGAAAAACTGACATGTGAACAACTAGTGATCAACTCTCTAACATGTATACTTGATCTGACATGTGAACAACTAGCATCATCCAACATGTATACTTGATCTGACATGTGAACAACTAGCATCATCTAACATGTTACTTGATCTGACAAGGTGACATCACCATAGAGGACGTTGTGTTCGTGCAGCCCTTCAGAAACACAGTCAGCGTCATGGAGATTTTGGGCCAGACACTTCTAGACATGCTGGAATATGGCGCCTCTAAGTGGACCCAGAACAGAGACGAGGCTTTCGGCGGTTTTCTGCAGGTTTCAGGTACATTATACGTGGGGACTATGGTATTTCTACAGGTGTAAGGAACATTATCTATGGGGTCTATGGGATTGATACAAGTGTAAGGTACATTATTTGTGGGGACCATGGCATTTCTACAGTTGTATTGCACGTTTATCTGTGGGGACTATGGCATTTCTACAGTTGTATTGCACGTTTATCTGTGGGGACTATGACATTTCTACAGTTGCAATGCATGTTTATCTGTGGGGACTACGACATTTCTACAGTTGTAAGGCATGTTTATCTGTGTGGACTATGACATTTCTACAGTTGTAAGGCACGTTTATCTGTGGGAACTATGACATTTCTACAGTTGTAAGGCACGTTTATCTGTGGGGATTATGACATTTCTACAGTTGTATTGCACGTTTATCTGTGGGGACTATGACATTTCTACAGTTGTAAGGCACGTTTATATGTGGGGATTATGACATTTCTACAGTTGTATTGCATGTTTATCTGTGGGGACTATGGCATTTCTACAGTTGTAAGGCATGTTTATCTGTGGGGACTATGGCATTTCTACAGTTGTAAGGCATGTTTATCTGTGGGGATTATGACATTTCTACAGTTGTATTGCATGTTTATCTGTGGGGTCTATGACATTTCTACAGTTGTAAGGCATGTTTATCTGTGGGGACTATGGCATTTCTACAGTTGTAAGGCATGTTTATCTGTGGGGACTATGGCATTTCTACAGTTGTATTGCATGTTTATCTGTGGGGACTATGACATTTCTACAGTTGTAAGGCACGTTTATCTGTGGGGACTATGACATTTCTACAGTTGTATTGCACGTTTATCTGTGGGGACTATGACATTTCTACAGGTTTAAGGCCCGTTTATCTGTGGGAACTATGCAATTTTTACAGTTGCAATGCATGTTTATCTGTGGTGAATATGGCATTACTAAAAGTGTACGGCACATTATCTGTGGGGACTATGGCATTTCTACAGTTGTAAGGCATGTTTATCTGTGGGGACTATGACATTTCTACAGTTGTATTGCACGTTTATCTGTGGGGACTATGACATTTCTACAGTTGTAAGGCACGTTTATATGTGGGGATTATGACATTTCTACAGTTGTATTGCATGTTTATCTGTGGGGACTATGGCATTTCTACAGTTGTAAGGCATGTTTATCTGTGGGGACTATGGCATTTCTACAGTTGTAAGGCATGTTTATCTGTGGGAACTTTGGAATTACTACAGTTGTGAGTTAAGTTATCTATTGTGACGAGGAAAACACAGGTGTGGTGGAGTGTAAATGCAAGCAGTAATGAAATGCAAATTAATGGTGACAATAAGTGCATTGAACTCCTTTTTGCTTGTGATCAAACTTTCAATTGCAGATACACAGAAAGAGATACAGGGATCCCTGGATAATCCAAGTAAATAGCCATGTCGTGGGATCTGCTAATAGTTCATGTCTTTTTCTTGCTAGTATATTGTTTATTCCCCTGTTATAATGATCTTTTAGTGGGTGAGCTTCCTTACAACCTGCGCTGTGTGTAAGATCTCCTGTCGACTACAAATATTACAAGGTTCAACTGAAATTGGTTCTATCGGTCACCGCTATCTATAAGATACCCTCAGTTTTATTTCTGCATGCGCTAAAATGTAACGAATGCACTTACCACATTCCTTTGTCCCCACCGGAAATATGAATCCTATGAAAGAGGTCCCTATTGTTTTATATCCGAGACACGTCGTCCTATGGCTATTGTTCTAGTTAACCTTGAAGATTCACTGGTCACTGTTAGTTCAGCAATGCTTAGATTTCTTTAGACTGTGTAGATTAGTAAAATAAGCTTTGCCCATCAGGAATTATTTATTTTCACGTCACTAAGCCTTAACCAGAGATTTAAAGACTTGGCGACCATTTTTTCCAACATGTCTTTCTCTAGCCAACAACAAACTCGACTTTTTCCTGCCCTCCACTTTCATTGTTTTTCCTAACAAACTAGCTAATCACCTTCCAAATATTATTTTACAAAATGACATTTTTTTCCAGCTACAAATTGCAACTTTGTCAACTTGTGCTCGCCAAGTCAGGCACTTTAACTGTCACATATTTTAATGACTGGAAGCCATCTTGAAAATTTCTCTTCCACTCCAAGTCACTAGCTATTAGGCGGACGCTTCGCTGTCCATGGCTATTTTCTGCATAGCAACCACCCTGAAGACTTGTTTCGGCATCTACTTTCACTACATATTCTTCTTACCTCGCTAATTGTTCAACTCTCAACTTACCTCGCTAATTGTTCAGCTCTCAACTTTTACCTCACTAATTGTTCAGCTCTCAACTTTTACCTCACTAATTGTTCAACTCTCAACTTTTACCTCGCTAATTGTTCAGCTCTCAACTCTTACCTCACTAATTGTTCAGCTCTCAACTTTTACCTTGCTAATTGTTCAACTCTCAACTTACGTCGCTAATTGTTCAGCTCTCAACTTTTACCTCGCTAATTGTTCAGCTCTCAACTTTTACCTCGCTAATTGTTCAGCTCTCAACTTTTACCTCGCTAATTGTTCAGCTCTCAACTTTTACCTCGCTAATTGTTCAGCTCTCAACTTTTACCTCGCTAATTGTTCAACTCTCAACTTTTACCTCTATAATTGTTCAGCTCTCAACTTTTACCTCGCTAATTATTCAGCTCTCAACTTTTACCTCGCTAATTGTTCAACTCTCAACTTTTACCTCGCTAATTGTTCAGCTCTCAACTTTTACCTCACTAATTGTTCAGCTCTCAACTTTTACCTCAGTAATTGTTCAACTCTCAACTTTTACCTCGCTAATTGTTCAGCTCTGAACTTTTACCTCACTAATTGTTCAACGCTCAACTTTTACCTCGTTAATTGTTCAGCTCTCAACTTTTACCTCACTAATTGTTCAACTCTCAACTTTTACCTCGCTAATTGTTCAGCTCTCTACTTTTACCTCACTAATTGTTCAGCTCTCAACTTTTACCTCGCTAATTGTTCAGCTCTCAACTTTTACCTCACTGATTATTCAGCTCTCAACTTTTACCTCGCTAATTGTTCAACTCTCAACTTTTACCTCACTAATTGTTCAGCTCCCAACTTTTACCTCGCTAATTGTTCAGCTCTCAACTTTTACCTCGCTAATTGTTCAACTCTCAACTTTTACCTCGCTAATTGTTCAGCTCCAAACTTTTACCTCGCTAATTGTTCAGCTCTCAACTTTTACATCGCTAATTGTTCAGCTCTCAACTTTTACCTCGCTAATTGTTCAACTCTCAACTTTTACCTCGCTAATTGTTCAGCTCTCAACTTTTACCTCGCTAATTATTCAGCTCTCAACTTTTACCTCGCTAATTGTTCAGCTCTCAACTTTTACCTCGCTAATTGTTCAGCTCTCAACTTTTACCTCACTAATTGTTCAGCTCTCAACTTTTACCTCACTAATTGTTCAGCTCTCAACTTTTACCTCACTAATTGTTCAGCTCTCAACTTTTACCTCGTTAATTGTTCAGCTCTCAACTTTTACCTCACTAATTGTTCAACTCTCAACTTTTACCTCGCTAATTGTTCAGCTTTCAACTTTTACCTCACTAATTGTTCAGCTCTCAACTTTTACCTCGCTAATTGTTCAGCTCTCAACTTTTACCTCGCTAATTGTTCAACTCTCAACTTTTACCTCGCTAATTGTTCAGCTCTCAACTTTTACCTCGCTAATTATTCAGCTCTCAACTTTTACCTCGCTAATTGTTCAACTCTCAACTTTTACCTCGCTAATTGTTCAGCTCTCAACTTTTACCTCACTAATTGTTCAGCTCTCAACTTTTACCTCGCTAATTGTTCAACTCTCAACTTTTACCTCGCTAATTGTTCAGCTCTCAACTTTTACCTCACTAATTGTTCAACTCTCAACTTTTACCTCGCTAATTGTTCAGCTCTCAACTTTTACCTCACTAATTGTTCAACTCTCAACTTTTACTCGCTAATTGTTCAGCTCTCTTTTACTTTTACCTCACTAATTGTTCAACTCTCAACTTTTACCTCGCTAATTGTTCAGCTCTCAACTTTTACCTCGCTAATTGTTCAACTCTCAACTTTTACTCGCTAATTGTTCAGCTCTCAACTTTTACCTCGCTATTGTTAGCTCTCAACTTTTACCTCGCTAATTGTTCAGCTCTCAACTTTTACCTCGCTAATTGTTCAGCTCTCAACTTTTACCTCGCTAATTGTTCAACTCTCAACTTTTTACCTCGCTAATTGTTCAACTCTCTCAACTTTTACCTCCTTGTTTCAGCTCTCAATTGTTACCTCACTAATTGTTCACTCTCAACTTTTACCTCGCTAATTGTTCAGCTCTCAAACTTTTACCTCGCTAATTGTTCAGCTCTCAACTTTTACCTCGCTAATTGTTCAGCTCCAAATTTTAACTCGCTTTGTTCAGCTCCCAATTACTGGCTTTTTTAACTCGCTCGTTTCTAAACTTTTACCTCGCTGATTGTTCAGCTCTCAACTTTTACCTCGCTAATTGTTCAACTCTCAACTTTTAACTCTCACTAATTGTTCAGCTCTCACACCTCACTAATTGTTCAGCTCTCAACTTTTACCTCGCTAATTGTTCAGCTCTCAACTTTTACCTCACTAATTGTTCAGCTCTCAACTTTTACTCGAATTGTTTCAACTCAACTTTTACCTCGCTAATTGTTTAACTCTCAACTTTTACTTTTACCTCACTAATTGTTCAACTCTCACCTTTTATTTTTCAGCTCTCAACTTTTACCTCACTAAATTGTTCAGCTCTCAACTTTTACCTCGCTAATTGTTCAGCTCTCAACTTTTACCTCGCTAATTGTTCAACTCTCAACTTTTACCTCGCTAATTGTTCAGCTCTCAACTTTTACCTCGCTAATTATTCAGCTCTCAACTTTTACCTCGCTAATTGTTCAACTCTCAACTTTTACCTCGCTAATTGTTCAGCTCTCAACCTTTACCTCGCTAATTTTTCAACTCTCAACTTTTACCTCGCTAATTGTTCAGCTCTCAACTTTTACCTCGCTAATTGTTCAACTCTCAACTTTCAGCTCGCTAATTGTTCAGCTCCCAACTTTTACCTCGCTAATTGTTCAGCTCTCAACTTTTACCTCGCTAATTGTTCAACTCTCAACTTTCATCTCGCTAATTGTTCAGCTCTCAACTTACCTCACTAATTGTTCAACTCTCAAATTACCTCGCTAATTGTTCAACTCTCAACTTTTACCTCGCTAATTGTTCAGCTCTCAACTTTTACCTCACTAATTGTTCAACTCTCAACTTACCTCGCTAATTGTTTAACTCTCAACTTACCTCGCTAATTGTTCAACTCTCAACTTTTACCTCGCTAATTGTTCAGCTCTCAACTTACCTTGCTAATTGTTCAACTATAAACTTTTACCTCGCTAATTGTTCATCTCTCAACTTTTACCTCGCTAATTGTTTAACTCTCAACTTACCTTGCTAATTGTTCAACTATAAACTTTTACCTCGATAATTGTTCAACTCTCAACTTACCTCGCTAATTGTTCAACTATAAACTTTTACCTCGCTAATTGTTCAGCTCCCAACTTTTACCTTGCTAATTGTTCAGCTCTCAACTTACCGACTATTTCTTACAAAAGTGACATATTTTTCCATCTTCAAAGCCAACAAACTGACAACATGTACGCGGTAAGTACAATAAAAGACTTGCCGCTTTTGTACAAATTAGAAGGACCGATTTTAAAACTGTCTGCCGCCTCCCAAACAGACCGTCCCTTTTCAGTCTGACCTACTGTTTCCCACTGTCGTCTGCCTGCTTTTGTCATACGTGACTTCATCTTTAAAAAAGTTTTTGAAAACTTTGAACAGTTTTTCAAACTTTTTAACAGGTGCACATCCTTGGGCCGTTTTCAAAACTCAGTTTGCCCCTCTCTAAGACAAATATCGAATTTGTCGAATATCAGTGGAGTGTTTGACATTCTAGTCTAACATTACTGGAGTGTTTAACATTCTTGTCTAACAGTACTGGAGTGTTTAACATTCTTGTCTAACATTACTGAAGTGTTTAACATTCTTCTCTAACATTACTGGTGTGTTTGACATTTTTGTACAACACTACTGGAGTGTTTAACATTCATGTCTAACATTACTGGAGTGTTTGACATTCTAGTCTAACACTACTGAAGTGTTTAACATTCTTGTCTAACATTACTGAAGTGTTAAACATTCTTGTCTAACAATACTGGTGTGTTTGACATTTTTGTACAACACTACTGAAGTGTTTAACATTCATGTCTAACATTACTGGAGTGTTTGACATTCTAGTCTAACACTACTGAAGTGTTTAACATTCTTGTCTAACATTACTGGAGTGTTTGACATTCTAGTCTAACACTACTGAAGTGTTTAACATTCTTGTTTAACATTACTGGAGTGTTTGACATTCTAGTCTAACACTACTGAAGTGTTTAACATTCTTGTCTAACATTACTGGAGTGTGTGACATTCTAGTCTAACACTACTGAAGTGTTTAACATTCTTGTCTAACATTACTGAACTGTTTAACATTCTTGTCTAACAATACTGGAGTGTTTGACATTTTTGTACAACACTACTGGAGTGTTTAACATTCTTGTCTAACAATACTGGAGCGTTTGACATTCTTGTCTGACACTACTAGAGTGTTTAACATTCTTGTCTAACAATACTGGAGCGTTTGACATTCTTGTTTGACACTACTGAAGTGTTTAACATTCTTCTATAACATTACTAAAGTGTTTGACATTCTTGTCTCCACCTAATTTCGAGATACCACAATCGCCAAATGATTTTAGTCGTGACCCCTCAGTGGCGCATCGGAGCACCCACAGCACCCTCAGCACCCACAACACCCTGCGCTATACACGGCAACCTGTGGCATATAATATCGTCAAAGACATTAATACACCAACTATTGCAGACATCTACGACATGCTTGAAAACCCGTAAATCAGACTACGACTTAAAGAGGCATACCTACACTGCGTGGTTGGACACAAACAACATATACTAGCAACAATAATATACCGACGACAAGCTTGATAACCCACTGAAACACCCATATATCGCAGCCTAGCTACCGTTTAAAACCACTTGTAATTATTTTATAGATACCGCGATCACCATAATGATCCCCGTTGTGACCCCTCGATGACCTATAAATCCCATCAGCTGACACTACAACTTGTCCCGCAACTTCCTGTTGTTGTTTTTTTTTTTTTTTTCTGTTAAAAAATAAATAAATAGACAGCATCTTTGTCCAAATTGTTTCTCCTTTTCTTAAAATTTACCCGGCGTGGCAGGCAGTGCTCCAGGATTCTTGTCCGGTGCCCATTGTCCGTGCGTCCTAATCTGCTCAAAATCGACTACTGTTGGTCTGTCAGTAAAGTTGCAAAGTGATGATGATGACAATAATAATGATGATGATGATAAAACTGTCAGCACTTTCAGGTTTACAGATCACCTACGACATTGGCCGCCCAGTGGGAGAGAGAGTTGTCGAGGTGTTGGCGCTGTGTACCAAGTGCCCAGTTCCTAAGCTAGAGCCACTGATTCCACAGAAAGCCTACAATGTTCTGGCCAGTTCCTTCATCATCAACGGGGGCGATGGCTACCATATGTTGCCAGCCAGCACCATCCGTGTCGTAGACATCGGTAGGTACTCGACTGAAATGTCTACATTCCTGGTGTTCTAAACATCGGTATGTCTCTGACTAAAGTTTCCACATTTCCTGTGTTCTAGACATCGGTATTTCCCAGACTGAGGTTTCCACATTTCCTGTGTTCTATACATCGGTATTTCCTAGACTGAAGTTTCCACATTCCCTGTGTTCTATACACGGCCTTCTCTATTTATAGGCCAAACAGGTCAACGGGGATTCCCGTTCTTGTGCAAGAACGGAGTCCCTCTGCTTCCACAGTTTTTATCGAGGAGATGTATATACAAATTAAACTACAGTCTCATTAATTTTCGACAAATTTTATAGAACTATACGTCATTTTTAAAGTAAACAAGTGCGCTATTTAAATATAACAATAAAGGCTCTTACAGACAAACAAAAATGCTTTTGCTACAGTCAACATGAACATAAACATCAATAACGTTTGGATATAAACTGACAGTTATTCCAGCAAAGGTAAAAAAATATTAGTGCTAACTCTTTGATTCTGAGAGGGTATTGTTGCACCAGAGGAGCCTGGGGAGGGGGGGGGGAGGAGGGGTGACATTTGTACTTTATCCAATTTAGCGCATAAAAATTCTGCTGTGAAACATACACATGTCTTATATAACATAAATATAAATGATTGATGGCTATTATTACTATTAGTAGACTACTACAACATATAATTATACTGTTATTTAATAATTAGTAAACTAGAACAGTGAATATGAAATTGATATGTGCAATAACTTTTCACCCAGAGCAGTTTTCTTAACAGTACTTATAGCACTGCTAAATATTTTTCCGCAAGGTACAAACAGCACAAACAAATTTGTCCAATTTCATCTTGTTAAATGAAATCAATTCCTTATCATTGCAAATTTTTTTTGGTAACTTTACAAATACATCACACATATTTCTGAATACTGCATGCCACAACGCGTATAAGTATCAAGAATGGTCTATTATTTTAAAGGTATTAAAAGCAAATTTAAAAAGACCATACAACTGCAAATGCTGTGCAACATACACATATCAAACACAAAGATTCCCTATATAGATACCGGATCTTGTTGTTCAAAACAGTGTCTATAACAAGATTAAAGCCCAGAAATAGATGAACAACCAAAAGTTTCTGCAAGATTTTACAACCAGTGTTCGCGAAGCAGAAGCCAATCTACAAAAATTAACACAGACTGTACAACTGCAAATATGCATAAGAAGCGATGAACAACCAAAAGTTTCTGCCAGAGTACAGCCAGTTTTCGCGAAGCATAAAACAAATGGTTGAGGAATAATATTATTTGTGTACTTCTACAACATATAATTATACAGTTAGTCAACATTTAGTAGAGAGGCAAAGAGTGACTTGCTGTGAGAGGTTAGTTAGTTAGTAATAAAATATTTTTTTTCATCCACTTACCCAGAGCTCCGAAATATCTTGACACTATTTATCTACAGTGTATGTAGTTGCACTATTTATGCAGTCAGAATGAAAACAATGTCGTGTATATCCACTTCGTAAGCACATTAAAATGTCACACGATGCAACACATGGAAAGGGCTTCCAGTAACCAGTTTCCGAGGGACTTCTTTTGAAAAGTGACGTCATTTAGTTGTTAGGCACAATTAGAGACGGCGTTGGTTCTATAAATCGGCATGTCCCTGACTAAGGTTTCCATATTCTTGTGTTCTAAATATCGGTATTTCCCTGACTGAAGTTTCCACATTTCCGGTGTACTAGAAATTATTATGCCCCTGACTGAAGTTTCCACGTTTCCGGTGTTCTTGATGTTGATATGTACCCACCGGAGGTTCATATCAATGATGTTCGAGCATCGAAATGTACTCAAAGAGAGATTCCATATTCACTCAACTTTGTTTGTCTCAGACCATTACAGCAGATATTGTCTAATATTACTGGAATATTTGACATTATTGTCTACAGTACTGGATTGTTTGACATTCTTGTCTAACATTACTGGAGTGTTCTACATTCTTGTCCTACATTACTGGAGTGTTTTACATTCTTGTCTTACATTACTGGAGTGTTTTACATTCTTGTCTTACATTACTGGAGTGTTTTACATTCTTGTCTTACATTACTGGAGTGTTTTACATTCTTGTCTTACATTACTGGAGTGTTTTACATTCTTGTCTTACATTACTGGAGTGTTTTACATTCTTGTCTTACATTGCTGGAGTGTTTTACATTCTTGTCTTACATTACTGGACTGTTTTACATTCTTGTCTTACAATACTGGAGTGTTTTACATTCTTGTCTTACATTACTGGAGTGTTTTACATTCTTGTCTTACATTACTGGAGTGTTTTACATTCTTGTCTTACATTACTGGAGTGTTTTACATTCTTATTTTACATTACTGGAGTGTTTGACATTCTTGTCTTACATTACTAGAGTGTTTCACATTCTTGTCTAACATTAATGAAGTGTTTGACATTCTTGTCTAACATTACAGGAGTGTTTGACATTCTTGTCTATCATTACTGGAGTGTTTGACATTCTTGTCTAACATTACTTGAGTGTTTGACATTCTTGTCTAACATTACTGGAGTGTTTGACATTCTTGTCTAACATTACTGGAGTGTTTGGCATTCTTGTCTAATCTAATCATACGAACGGTAAGGGGCTGGATTTATTAAATTTGCCCGAACCTAGAATATATTGTTTAAAAACAAGCGTAGCATATTCTGCTGCTCATTTGTAGAACCAGGTTGCACTTGATCTGAAATATACAAAGACTACCTATTCATTTAAACAAAACTTTTTGAGTTCATGCTTAAAAGTGATCATATGCCACCTTAATTGTGATTATTAATCCATTTTGCATTTTCAATTGATAATTATATAAGGTGTGTATGATATGTATGTATGCGTGCATGTTTGACATGTACATGTGTGGTATGTATGTGTGTATGTGTAGGCGTGTTTGTGTATGCATGAATGTGTGTATCGGTAATCGTATAAGTTGTTGCGCGTGTGTGTGTCTATTTTGTGTGTGTGACTCTGTGTGTGTCTATGGGTTTGTGTGTGAATATGTCTCTATGTGGGCGTGACTGTTTGTCTGTGTGTGTGTCTGCGTGTGTGAATGAGTGTGTGTGTGTGTGTGTGTGGGTGTGCGCGCGCATTGTTGTGTGTGTGTGCGTGAGTATCTGCGTAAGTGTCTTCTGTGTGTCTCTGCAGGTGAGTCTCTGTGTGTGTGTCTCTCTCTTTGTGTGTCTGTGTGTACATGTCTGTGTGTGTGTGTCTGTGGTGTATATGGCTATCTGTGTGTCTGAGTGTACATGTCTGTGTGTGTCTCCTTGTGTGTCTGTGGTGTATATGGCTATCTGTGTGTCTGTGTGTACATGTCTGTTTGTGTCTCTTAATGTGTCTGTTGTGTATATGGCTATCTGTGTGTCTGTGTGTACATGTCTCTGTGTGTGTCTCTTAATGTGTCTGTGGTGTATATGGCTATCTGTGTGTCTGTGTGTGCATGTCTGTGTGTGTATGTCTGCATGTTTTGTCTACGTGTGCATGTCTGCCTGTGTGTCTGAGTGTGCGTTTAAATGTGTGTGTCTGTGGTGTTTGTTTGTGTGTATGTATCTGCATGAGTTTTATATGTGTGTGTGTGTATCTGCATGCGTATCTGTGTGTATGTGTATGCAGGTGTCTGTGCCTGTGTTTGCGTGTCTGTGTGTTCTACGTGTATGTGGCTGTGTGTGCTGGCGTGTGTGTTTATGTGTGTCTTTTTGTATGTGTGTGTGTGAGTTTTTATGTGCCTGTGTGTATGTGTGTCTTAGTGTGTGTTTGTCTGTCTGTGTGTGTCTCTCTCTCTGTGTATTGCCTCTGGGTGTGTCTGCATGTGTGTATGTGTGCTGTTTCTTCAATAATTAGTTTCCTTTTTTTTTCACAAAATCTTTGTTCTGCCTGAATGCTCCGTGACAAGTTTCTCTGATTTCGCCACACAGTGTTATTATGTGTGTGATATTTTACTCATGTACATTGTGTGAGTTTACCCCAATAGTCACAGTGTGTACAGGGTTCGACATTTTAACGTGTGTGTGTTGTCTGTCAGTGAGTGCAGCTCTGACCTGGAGACCAGCAAACATCGCCATTCCATTGTTGTTTTTGTGGGCCTTCACATACTACAAGTGATTGTTCCATTGTTGCTTCTGTGTGCCTTCACATACCACAAGTGATTGTTCCATTGTTGTTTCTGTGTGCCTTCACTTACCACAAGTGATTGTTCCATTGTTGTTTCTGTGTGCCTTCACATACCACAAGTGATTGTTCCAATAGTTGCTTGGTGTGCCTTCACATACGGACAAGTGATTGTTCCGATGTCAACCACAAGCTGGGGCTTCTGTGTGCCTGGAGATATCACAACGTCGCCATTCCATTGTTGTTTCTGTGTGCCTTCACATATCACAAGTGATTGTTCCATTGTTGTTTTTGTGTGCCTTCACATACCACAAGTGATTGTTCCATTGCTGCTTCTGTGTGCCTTCACATACCACAAGTGATTGTTCCAATGTTGTTTCTGTGGGCCTTCACATATCACAAGTGATTGTTCCATTGTTGCTTCTATGTACCTTCACATATCACAAGTGATTGTTCCATTGTTGTTTCTGTGTTCCGTTACATACACAAATGATTGTTCCATTGTTGTTTCTGTGGGCCTTCACATACCACAAGTGATTGTTCCATTGTTGTTTCTGTGTGCCTTCACATACCACAAGTGATTGTTCCATTGTTGCTTTCTGTGTGCCTTTACATATCACAAGTGATTGTTCCATTGCTGCTTCTGTGTGCCTTCACATATCACAAGTGAGTGTTCCATTGTTGCTTGTGTGTGCCTTCACATATCACAAGTAGTTGTTCCATTGTTGCTTTCTGTGTGCCTTCACATACCACAAGTGATGGTTCCATTGTTGCTTGTGTGTGCCTTCACATACCACAAGTGATTGTTCCATTGTTGCTTCTGTGTG